GGTGGGCCCTGATTGGTTGTTAACAGTGGGTTATGATTGGTTGCTTTTGGACCAATCATGAGGTGCCGGATATGCAAATTTGAGGGATTCTAGTGGCCAATCAGAGCAAGGTTTCGAAGGTCAGGTTTTTGGAAGGGAACCAATCATGGTAATTGTTTGCTCTCTGAGAAACCTCGGCAGACTCGCTGGTGTGCAGCTTCCCACACCACCCCATTCCCACATCTAATAAAAATGCAATGTTAAAGCCAGTAGATGGTGTGGCAGTTTAGGTGGCTGGATTCCACATGGCTGACTGCACAGTTAGATTACCAGACACAGCAGCTTGAAAAACATGCCTGGTGCTTATGTGTGTGCACCCAGAAGCAAAAAGTCGTTAAGGACCTGTAGGTAAGTGGCAGGCACTAAAAGAGGACAGTGGAGGAGAAGGGATTGCAGCATGGTCTTCCTCCCTGGAGGGTGCCTTTTCACTTCCTCTCTCGTGCTTTCTGTCTCTCTCTCTGGTGAGAGTACAGGCCCTCTGGCAAATTTTTAAAAAATACAGTTTTATTGTCATACTCAAGGAGTTTACTGAAACAAAAGTATTTATTTCTCGTCTCTTACTCAGCCGGATTTTCTTTCTATAGTTTCTTTCTTGCCTCTGCAGTACCTTATTCCCATAAGCAGAATGATCTCTCATGATTAAAAATAAATTAAAAGAGACAAATATTTGTGTATATAATTTCAAATCAATGCAGTGCTCCCAGACTTTCTAAGAGACATTTTTAGCTTCATTGTAATTCAAAGTACTTAAATATTTATATCACTTTCCAGTTTTTTTTTTTTTGTTTTAGAGAGAGAGACGTTTACTATAGAGTGAATGTGCTTGCTGGAGAGACAGACAGAAAGTGAGAAATCACCTCCGAGGGAGGATAGCCACACCACAATCCCTCCTCCTCCATTCTCCTCTTGAGATTCTGGGCACAAACGCACATGTGCCCGGCATGAGTTCTAAGCCACTGCATCTGAGACTTAAACTGCGGTCAGCTATGTAACGATTATGCCATTTGCTGATCCTTTACTTTCCAGCTTTTATCTTTGGACAGAAATATATCCTATTCATGTCAAAATAAGGTTTCATATAATGGAAAAGCAGCAGAGTTTTGATGATGGCGAATAATTAGCCTTTTACCTTCTAAATCTTATGCCATGAAACAGAGAACAGCAGTTTATGCAATGAGAAGGAATATGATGAACTCTTAGGATGTAAAATAATTATATAAAGTGCTTTATTGATAAGCTTTCAATGAAATCTTTTTCTCTGCTCATTTTTTTAAAGACAGATTTTTGCTATAGAGTGTATGCACTTGCCAGAGAGACAGAGAGACAAAATGTGATCTGTCAATAAATAGAACTTAGATTGGGGTGTTATTTCTTAAAATAGCAATGTTGTAATTGATCAATCTTGATGCTGTTCAACATGGCACAGGTGGTCTGAAAAGTATAATTTGGAATAATAGTATCCTCTGCCCTTTAAAGTCATCAGAAAGTATATAGTATCCTCTGCCCTTTAAAGTCACAGGCAAAAGATAATTTTAAAAAAAGGAGGGGCTGGCAAGTGGCATGGTGGTTAAGGGCATTGGACTTCCACGTGGCTGACCGCAGTTCATGACCCGGACCTGGTGGCTTGTTGTCTCACTTTCTCTCTCTCTGTCCCTCTCTGGTCAAATTAAAATAAATAAAGAAATAAAATGTTCGATGAAATAATTTTTAAAAAACACACAGAAGAAAATTTACGTGTAGCAGCTCACATTGTATGGAAGGAGTCATCGCTAGAAGAGTGGGGGCTACAGTCATTCCTCCTGCTCTCTAGAGGCCAAAAGTCATCTTAGGCCAGTGTCAAAGAGTCTATAGAACACTAAATAAATTACCAGTGAATTAAACCTACCATGAAGACTCAAAAAGAGCATTTTACTAATTCGATGATTAAAAAAGAGTAAATGTGTACAAATTTTAGGTAAACTTATTTAAAAATATCCAACATGTATGTTTGTTGTACCGTTGACATGATCAAGAGAGAATACAATTGTTTGTGAAAGCAAATATTTGGCATGTTTATCATTGATCAAGACTAGGAGAACTGTTAGAGATCTTTCTGGTAGCATGGTGTTTAATGCAGCAGTTTCGCACATGGCTGACTGCATGGTTCAAGTATGGAACCTGGCAGCATGGAAAACTTCCGGGCCTGTGAGTGCCCCAAATCCTGAGAAAACAGAAGAGAAGGGAGGAGAATGGGGGGAAAGGGATTGTGGTGTGATTATCCCTCCTGGAAGTTTCTTTCTTACTTTCCCTCTCTCTCTGTCTCTGTGTCCTGTGAGCACATATGCCCTAGAGCAGAGGGAAAAAATGTAAAAAAGATCTTTCTAGAAGAACCAGAATGACCTCTTTGCTGAAAATGTGCCTAGGACACTTTCATCAACATTATTAATCCCAGCTGTCAAAAAAAGCACTGAGGACTGATCTAACTTCCAAAGTAGTTTGTGAATTACAGTAATACTCCATTGAAAGGAGTGTTTTTTCTTACTTCACCCCTAGATGACTCAGTATTTCTACAATACAGAAAATGGAAGCTCAGAGGGGAATGGAGAAAGGATTGTGGCATGGCCATCCTCCTTGGGGAGAGAGGAGTTTTTCTCTCTCTCCTCTCTCTCTCTCACTCTCGCTCTCTCCTCTCTGTGGTGAGCTCATGCACCCTATAGCAAAACAAAAACAAGAAAACAACCCCACAACATAATTTTCTCTGCTTTTAACCTTTCTAAATATTTATCTTTTCTTTTCCTCATTTGACATATCATACCAACACTATAGATTTTCATTTTGTTAAAATAGGTTGGAACTAAAGTAATTTTCTTAAAATTGTATTTTCTGAGAAAATGAAAAATGACAATTGAATCAAGAATTTCTGTGTGTTAGGGAAAGCAGAGACTCTGTTCCATCTGAATAATTATAATAAAAGCTAAAACTGCCAGTGCTCTTCCCTTTTCTCTTTATAAATAAATTAGAACATTAGGGACCAGCAGATGGTACAGTGGCTATGTCGCTGGAATCCCATGTAGTTGACTTTGATTCAAATCCCAGCCCTGGTGGCTTAAACTCATGTCGGGCACATGTGCGTGCATGCCCAAGATTTCGAGAGGAGAATAGAGGAGGGGATTGTGGTGTGGCCATCCCCCCTGGGGAATGATTCTCGCTTTCTCTCTCTATCTTCTTGGCAAGTGCATGTGCCCTAAAGAAAAAACCTTTTAAAAAAAAAAAAAAGAATTTTAAAAATCCACAAAAAATACGTAAGTCCATGTAATTCTTACTCAACAATAACTGCCATTTAGTAGATTACATCAAATCTTTATTTGCTTTCACCCATTACACATTTGCGTAATTTGTTATTTTCTAATTATATTTGTGCTGCTAAAACATCTTATTAATCTGGGCCAGAAAACCAAATTCTTGGTAATTTGTAAAGACTGTATAAAGCTGGTAATTTTGCAATGAAAACTATTATTTCCCAGGCAAAACCAGGAACTGTACCCATACATACACATGAAACTGCCTTAAAAGGAAAAAGAGGGACCAGCAGTTAGCGTAATGGCGATGTCGCTGGACTCCCATGTAGTCGACCGCGATTCGAGTCCCGGACCTGGCAGCTTAAACTCACGCCGGGCGCGTGTGCGTGCGTGCCCAAGATCCCAGGAGGAGAATGGAGGAGAAGGGATTGTGGCGTGGCCATCCCCCCTGGGGGATGATTTCTCACTTTCTGTCTCTCTGTCTCTCTCTGTCTCTCTGGAGAGCGCACACACCCTATAGCGAAAACCTCTCCAAAAAAAAAAAAAAAGGGAAAACAGGGGGCCGGCAGGTGGCATGGTGGTTAAGGGCACTGGACTCCTACGTGACCAATCACAGTTCAAGTACTGAACCTGACGGCTTGCTCTCTCTCTTTCTCTCTCTCTCTCACTGTGTTCTTCTCTGATCAAATTAAAATAAGTAAGTAAATAAGTTTAAAAAATAATTCTTAAGAAAAAAGAGGAGGAAGGCAGGATGTGGGTGACCTGTAGCTCTCCTTCACCTTGAAGCCGATGTTCAAATGCACACCTTCCTGGCTATTGGCATTTTTTCAGATGTTTCTTGAGTTAAGAGGGGCAGGAATTATACTCAACTGAATAGCATGAAATAAAGCAGATGGCTCCTGAGGAGAGGCCTTCTTGGGATGCGACTACTGCAACAGAAACCTGTTTCTGAGAACGGTACCGGGATGAGTCAGCACAGACAAGAACGACGGGTGATGAAGAGGATGCACTTTGCCTAGCTCTCTATTTTGATCTATATTTATGTTTCAGCTGTTTGAGAAAGTCAAAGAAGTGTGTCCCCATGTGCATGAGAAGATCAGAGCTATTTCTGCGGATCTCAACCAGAATGACCTTGCCATCAGCAAGGAGGACATGCAGGAGCTCCTGTCTTGTACAAACATCGTCTTCCACTGCGCAGCCACCGTGCGGTTCGATGAGGCTCTGAGGTGCGGCCCCTCCCCCCCTTGTGCATGTGTGTGTGCGTGCACACACGTGTGTGTAAGTTTCTTATGGTTTCTGTAAGGAAAAATGCATCCTCAATGAGAGAAAAAACACAAAGCAGCCAAAATTCTCCAAAAAACCCTCATCCAGAGATAGCCATTTAGTATTTTAGAAAACATCCACTTCAACTTCTATGTACCTAAGAGGAAATGGCTATGTGTTCACTTACAAAATGTAACAGCCTGTTGAGAATGTCTTGCAACCTGCCCAATTATGTGTAAGGATATCTCTCATTATCGAGAACCATTATCTGTAATGACTACTTCGCATCCCATTGCGCATGTGTATAACATTCTCAGCCAGTTCTGCATAGGTGGGCACTTGAATTGCTGTAGTTTTTCACTATTATAAACAACTCTGCAGTGAGTCTCTCTCTTTCTATATATATGTTTATATAAATAAACATATAAATATTTTTTTCTCCTCTCTTTGTGTGTTCTCTTTGGAGTAAATTCCGAAGGAGATATGGAGATGTAATTATTACCATATATAATGGAGATAAGGAGATAAAATTCCATTGTCAGATATGTATCAGGTGCACTCAGGTTATGAGCGGTTTACATGTTGTATTTAATGCTAAATTGCTCTTGATGGACAATGTCACCTTTGGGTGACATCAGTTTATACTGTTTTCTGTGTACATGAATGCTCATTTCTTACAGTTACAATGATACATGTAGCTTTTTAAAAGAATTATTTATTTAATTCCATTTGGTACTATTAATTAATTAACTGATTAAAATTTGACCAGAGAGAGACAGAGAGAGAAAAAGGAAAAACAAGAAAGTAAGCTGCCAGGTCCAGGACTGGAACCACAGTCAGCCAGGTCAGAATCTAGCACCTTTAACCACCACACCACTTGCCGGCCCCTGTAACTTTATTTTTAATGTTGCCAATATGATAGTGGAAATGGCATTGCATATTCTGATCTTTATGTCTTTAATTAGAAAGGTTGATAATGTTTAAATGCTTACTCATGATTTATTCTTTTATGAAATGCCTATTTATGTTTTTTCCTATAGTCTATAGACATATTTTGTTAGTAATTTAAAGATTTTTTTGAAGAGTCAATATACTCTTTGTCTTTTGTGAAGCTCAAAATATTTTAACAATTAATCCATTTATTTTTAAACTTTATTATTTATGCAGTTATTCATAATTTTAACTAGGTTTCTTATAGTTTTATTTTTCCATTCAGATCTTTAATCTATTTAAAATTTATTTAGCTATGAAGAGGAATGTCAGGAAAATTCTATATAGAGAAGAGTGAAATAGCGTGAAGGCAGCTACTAGCTTTATGTTTTCCTAACAGATGGTTAGCCTTAATATTTATTAAGTGATTATTTCACTCTTTATTTGAAATGAAATTTTTATAATAAATTATCAATACCAGTCATTTTAATTAATTTGTATTGTATTAGGGCAGGTATACCCACAGACACTCATTTTTTTATAGAATACTCCTGATTATTCTGATTATTCTTATCTATTCATACTTCTTGATTAAATTTAGAATAACTTTGCCAAGTTTTGAATAATTTTGGAAGTTTGTTTAAGATTATCTTTGATATGAAGGTTAAATTAGAAAATTTTAACATATACAATGTATTTTTATTTTTTTATTTTTTAAATTTTTTTGGAGAGGTTTTTGCTATAGGGCACATACGCTCACCAGAAAGACAGAGAGAGAGAGAGAGAGAGAGAGAGAGAGAAAGTGAGAAATCCACCCCCCCAGGGAGGATGGCCACACCGCAATCCCTTCTCCTCTCTGGATCTTGGGCACACACGCACACGCGCCCAGCATGAGTGTAAGCCACTGGGCCAGGACTTGAACTGTGGTCAGCTACATGAGAGTTCAGTGACATAGCCATTACACTAACTGCTGGTCCCCATATTTATAATTCTAATTCTTACTATCCAAGAACAATGTCTGTTCAGTTTTTCTGTTAATATTATGACCCTTAATGAAGTTTTATCATTTTCTTTATATGTTTATTTATGATTATTTTTATGTTTGTAAATGTTCAGGGGTTTTTTTTAGAATTACTTATTTAATTTTACTTATCATTTTTAAAAATTTGAACAAAGAGAAAGGGAAAACGAGAAAGTAAGTACCTTGGCCTTGGTCAGCCCCTTGACCACCATACCACCTACCAGCCCCAAGTGATCAGTTTTTAATGTGACTTCTTTCCATTTATTCTACAATTTGTTTATATATAGGAAAACCAGTGATTTTTTTTCATAATTGGACCATCCTACTGAATTATCTTATTTCCTAGTTTTTTTTAATATAAAGTTGCTTCTGTTTATTTTCCAGATATACAATTATATAATCTAAGGGTGATTATCGTGACTACTTTTTCAATGCTTTTATCTGTTTATTTTCCTCTCTAATTTCAAGACTGGTGCTTAGAGCAATGGCACATAGTACTAGTATTTGAAGGCATTCTCCCTCATTTCCTCATCCTGGCTTTTAAAGCAGTGTTCTTTTCACCATTAAGCATGGCATTAGCTACTAAATTAAAATATATGTTGCTTAATCATTTTCTTCCTTTTAGTAGATGTATTTACTTAAATTGGGAATGGATGCTAGATGTCATTTACTAACTTTACAAAAATATCATGTAATTCGTTTTTCTCTTTTTGAGTTAATAGGTTTCCTGCTATTGTATAAGCCACGTAATCTTGAAGAACTGTGTCATTGTCATCACGTGCTGTGCTTTTATAACTTCATATAGTTTACAGTTTATATAATATTCTTTAGCTATAATGTGGATTTTGACATTAATTTTCATGTCAGACCTGAACCGTTACACTAGCAACTTATATTGCTCATTTTAAAATTCACTGTTTCTCCTCGCTAGTTTATTTCAATTTTCCAACTTCTTAAGTTAGATGCTTAATTTATTTATTTTTGCTCTTTTAATAGTTTTATAAATTCAGAGGATTTTTTTCACTCTCAGTTGATTAGAACCAAGTAAGCTCTAAATACAAATAGTGTCTTATAGGATTTATGTACAGGAGATACATCAACACATGACACATTTCAACAACTGTGTAATCGTAGACCATGGTCCATCCTTTATTCCTGTTCCTTTGACCAACATAATCTGATGGTATGCTAGTTATTAGAGTAGGTAGGTTACAGCAAGGCCTGATGCTGAGTCCCCTAATCAGATTCTCCTTTTAATCCTCCCCAGACATGCCGTGCAGCTGAATGTCACTGCCACCCAGCAGCTCTTGCTGATGGCCAGTCAGATGCCAAAGCTAGAAGCCTTCATCCACATCTCGACTGCCTTTTCTAATTGTAACCTGAAGCACATCGACGAAGTCATCTATCCATGCCCTGTGGAACCAAAAAAGATCATTGACTCCTTGGAGTAAGTTGGATCAAATGAAAGAGTCAAGGGGCGGGTAGATTGTTCTCTTTGATTCTTTTTAGTCACTCATTAATGAGATATTAAGTAGGGCACCCTTAAAACAAAATGGTTTGATGAAGTTTAAGATTGCATGGGAATGAGGGCAGCAAGTGGTGTGGTGGATAAGGTGCTGGACTCCCACGTAGCCAACCATGACTTGGTGGCTTGCTTTCTCACTCTGTCTCTGTCTGGTGAGTACATGTACCCTGTAGCAATTTTTTTTCTAAATGGTAGTAATAAATAAAATTAAATAAACATTTCACTTTAAAAAAAAAAAAAGAAAAAAACAATTGCTAGGGCTAGCAGGTGGCATGGTGGTTGGAGCACTGGACTCCCACATGGCCAACTACAGTTTAAGTCCCAGGCCTGGTGGCTCTCTCGCTCTCTCTTTCTCTCTGTTGAGTACGCATGCCCTATGGCACATTTTTAAAATAATAAATAAATAAACCTTTTAAAAGAAGATTGTATTAGGAATATTGGGAATACTGTACATAAACATGGTTTCTCACTTCTCAATGAACTCCACAGTGTCACTAGATAAAGGACGTATAATGTATAGCATAAAGTCTCAGAATAATTTTGGAGTCAGATTGATCATTTATGGCTCCACACCTTCTCTTTGTAAGAATTTGAGCAAGTTCTTTGGGCTCTCTGAGCCCCAATTTCTTCCTATGTAAAATGGGCTCATTTAATAGTTCAGAGGATGAATTCGGACATTCAATTCTCGCAAACATTTTGTCATGTCACCATCCTCACCCCTTGTCTACCTTCATATCATCAGCTTCTACATATCTGATGACATTTATCTTTAGAAATGAATGTGAATAAATGGATTGCCAGTGAAATTCTAGTTTTCCAGAATAACAGGTTTGGTATAAGTTTATTGTTTTAAATGCCTTTATTAGTTCAAAATTTTGTATTCAGGATCACCCACCCAGCCTCCTTTCTCTATGCTTTCCTTATGGTCTTAAGGAGAAATAGTGTCCCGTATTTATTTCTTTTTGCCAAATTTTTCTCTTCTTGCTGAGCAGAAACCACTCTCTGTTTAACACATAACCCTGGTCTTGGAATAAGTATGTTTCTGTTTTCTGTTTCCCAATCCTTCTGCTCCTTTTTACTAAAGTTTACCTTATTTTTTGTTTCAGTTTTGATTTTTTTTTTTTTTGGACAGATTTTCACTGTAGGGCGCGTGCGCTCGCCAGACAGACAGAGAGAGACATAGAGACAGAAAGCGAGAAATCACCCCCCAGGGGGGATGGTCACACCGCAATCCCTTCTCCTCCATTCTCCTCTCGGGATCTTGGGCACGCACGCACACGCGCCCGGCGTGAGTTTTAAGCCACCGGGTCCGGGACACGAACCACGGTCGACTACGTGGGAGTCCAGCGACATAGCCATTACGCTAACTGCTGGTTCCCTTTCAGTTTTGATTTTTGTAGTTTTTTTTTTTTTTTAAGCGAGATTTTTGCTATAGGGCGTGTGCACTCACTAGAGAGACAGAATGTAAGAAATCACCCCCCGGGGGATGGCCATGCCTCAATCCCTTTCCTCTGTTCTTCTCTCAGGCTCTTGGGCATGCACGCACACATGCCCAGTGTGAGTTTTAAGCCACCAGGTCTGGGACTCAAACCATGGTCAACTACGTGGGAGTCCAGTGATGTAACCATTATGCCATCTGCTGGTCCCAAAGTTTACCTTGTTTTGAGCTTTCCAAAACTCTGCATAAAAAGTATTATAACAGAAAAATTCTTTATTTCATAGTGAATTTGTCACATTTTAATTTCATACAACACTGTGTTTATATTTAAAATATATACCCTAAAAAGATTTAGCTAAATCAAGAGTTCACTCCCTGTAAGGCAAGCATTTTTATTTCCTCTAGCTCTCAGAACAGATATTTTTATCTGTCATTTAAAAATATCTGGGACTAAGAAGAATGAAAGTCATCTAAAGGCTCTGGAGGTTGCTTGAAGTTGCTAATAAATGATGGTTTGCTTAATTGGCACAAAGGAAAATTTCAGAGTTCAGGATTCGCCAGGACAGTTAGAGGTTATTCTGATGCCCCAAGTCAATGCAGGCAGTGTATGAAGCCTCTGAGCATTTTCAGGATGGAACTGGTTGTCAGTTGCCTTCTTCCTGTTGTCACTTGGTAAATGTGATGCTTACGTATGTGAAATGCCCAGGAGCGGGGCAGACCTCCTTCAATTTCAGTTCCCAGTGCTGAGTATCCGTGACTCCCTCCACTCACATGCGAAAGATCATACTGCAGTTGGAGACTGTAAGGAGTCTTGGAATTCACCAAAGGGGAGGGGGACTAGCCAGTGGCCAACCGCGTGGTTTGAGTCCTGGACGTGGCAGCTTGAGAAACACACCAGGCACAAGTGCATGTGTGCCCAAAATCTCAAAAGGAGGGGGAGACAGAGAAGGGATTGCAGACTGCCCCTCAAGGGAGTGCTTTCTCCCTTTCCTTTTCTCTCTCTCCGGCAGTTACATGCACCTGCAGGCAAAATTTTAAAAAGAGAGAGAGAAAGAAACTAGGGTTGTTTTTGGTTTTGGCCAAACAAGGAAAAAGTCAAATCTACCATTTATTAGCTCAAAATTTTGCATTCCGGACCACTGGCCCAGCCTTCTAGCTCTCCACCCTCCCTTACGTTTGCACTGCAGTCACAGGGAGGTTACTCCTCTCCCTCATGCTCTCTGCCTTTGTTTCTGATGTGTCTGCTTCTGCCTCCTCCTACGTCCACTTAACCTGGTTAATTTCTGCTCAGACATCACAGCTCTCTCCTGGCCCCTCTGCCCCCAAGCTTAAGTGCCCTTCCTGAGGGCTCACCTTCCTAATTGCCCTTAACACAGGTCCTTATAAAATCTGGTCACCTCTCTATACCTTCTTAGACAATGTGCTTCACAAAGGAAGAGAATGTTTTTTGCCCCTCCTTGCACCTCCCGTGTTCAGTGTCGTTAAGAGACGGACTGTGACTCTAACCCCCATACCCACCATGCCTTCCCCATCCTTTGCAAGCCTAAGGTCGCTGCTTGTTCAGCCCGTCTCATTTTCCATCCATCCAAAGGCCTCAGCTCCCCTCCTGCTGCTGCTCTCTGAAACTTACTCCCTCGGTCCTGAACCATTCCAGAAAGAAGAAATTTGGTTGTATTAGTACAAAAGCTTTTCTATGTTAGCATAAACACATTTTAATGATAAGTTAGGAGTTGATGCTTTGATTAGTAAGACAAGCAGCATGACCACTCACTGATCAGTGTTACACAAAGAATTTTCCTAGCTCTTATACCTGCCGTTGCCCGATCCTCATCCCAGCTCTCAGAGTTGATTATTCCTTTTGTTTCAAACACTCTGATGAAGGTGGGTTCTAGAAATATAAACGTCCTGTCACCATCCTCACCTCATGTCTACCTTCATATTATCAGCTTCTACATATTTGGTGACATCTATCTTTAGAAATGTATGTGCATAAATGGATTGCCAGTGAAATTCTAGTTTTCCAGAATAACAGATTTGGAACAGTTTATTTTTTAAATGCCCACGACTGAGCAGGAAAGACTAGGTCTTACAATTGGCACTCTTATATTTCAGGCCAAAGTAACTCCTTCTAGGGAAATGAGTGTAGAAGTAAAGGGCATTCGCATTTGCCTAAAAACTTGAAATAACGAGTATTAGCAAACTTAGAACAGAATTTCAAAAATGGATCCATCAATATTTACTGCTTTAAGATATATTTTACAAACCAAGTAAAAAAATGCCGTAAAAAGGGAGGGGTGATGAGTCATTATTGAGCAATCACTGTGAGCAAGACACTTTCATAGACCATTTCTTAGCATAACATTGTAGGGTTGATATTACTATTACAAAAGGCCGGGGAGAGCTAAGTAACTCTTTGAAAGCACTCAGCTGGTAAGTTACACAATTTGTATCCATGGCCACTGCATTCTGAAGCCCCTAATATTTATGGTTTACTCACATACTTGGCAGTGCTAGAAATTAAATGGCACGTTCTTAAGCTATAGGCTCTGCTCTCAAGAAGGTTGCCTCTGCACAACCTGAACAGGGTAGGATGAGACTCATGCTGTGGTGGGAGAAATGGGGCCTATTAAGTCTGGTGGAGTTGAAGGAGGGAGGAAGACACTGATGACAGCGGTGAGCAGACATGGAAGCAGCAGGGTGTAGATAGGTGAGATCGGGCATGTAGTAGAGCCCCTGGAGAAAGAGAACCCAGAGCACGCATGAGAGGCAGCACTTATGTTATGTGTAGGCAAGCAGAGATTGAGTGGTCAAGGGAGCTGCGGTCATCCCGCGGAGATTCTGAGTACCACGCGGAGGGATTGTATTTCATTCCGTAGCCAATGGGGATCCACTGAAGAAGGGCTGTCCATGTGTGTACCTATGAGTGTGTGGGGAAAGTGTCTGGTTGATTGGCTATCCTTTTGTTTCAATCAAACACTCTGATGAAGGTGGGTTCTAGAAATAGCAACATGGTCATGGGGTCGGGGAGAACTGGATTAACAGGGGGAGTAATACACAGGCAGGGAGACCCAGACTGGGATGAGTGATGCAGAGGACTAGAACTAAAATGTGGTAGTGGCCCCCCAAAAATCTATGTGTTTTAAGAAAGAAAAATCAATTAAGACATGGCCACTGTTCTGCATATGGTCTTCCACATATCTTTCAGCTGCCAGGTTAGAATTTGTGAAATTGTCATGTCGTACATTTCCAGTATCAGGGAATTCATTCTGTTCAAGGTCAATTCAATTGGAAATGTTTAATTTCAAGAAGCAATTCCTTTTGCAAGTTAGCCGTGATGTATTTAAATCGTAATTATTTAAATGTATGGAGTGGACTTCTTTTAAACTGGTGATTTCCTAATCAGCCTGACCATAAGAATCCTAAGGACTTGTTAAAAATACAGATCATCAGACTCTCACCACTCCCAAGATTGACAGTGATTTTA